GGAGTTTCAATGAAAAGGATGTTGAGGTGGAGGTTTTGGAGCGACTGCTGGTGATGGCATTGAGAGCGTCAGCTGGAGCGTTGTCAACACCACTGATGTCGCGTATATCAGTTAAAAACTCCGAGATGAAGGTGAGCTGGCGCACCTCGCGCGGTGTGTATAGTGAGTCAGTTCGGCCGATCGAATAGGTGAGAGGTTTATGATCAGTGAAAATTGTAAAAGAGGGGCCGTCAAGTAGGTGTCGAAAATGGCACACTACGAGAAAGATGGCGAGCAACTCACGGCTGAAAATGCTGTAGTTTCTTTGGGCAGGGGTCATACGCTTGAATAAAAATGTTAGGGGCTGCAACTGATTGTTCACTTTTTGCTGGAGTATGGCCCCAAGTGCAGAGCAGGATGCATCCTTCATGAGCTCTGAGGGATAACTGGGATATTCGTGCGTCAGCGGTGTGGCTTCAGCCAAAGGGTTCTTGATGGAGTTAAAAGCTTCTTCCGTCGTGATGTTCTATGGTAGTGCAGTTTCCGAAACTTTGCCACAGAGAAAATTGTCGAGGGGCTCCAACAGCGTAGCACAGTTCCTAATAAATTGGCGGTGGAAATTTACAAGCCCAAAAAATTTGCGCAGCTTGGTTATTTATGTGGGCTTGGAGAACTTGACGATTGTTTGCACTTTCTCAGGAAGAGGGCTAATTTCACTGCTGTCCAAGCGATGACCCAGAAAACCAAGAGATGACTCTCCGAACTCACATTTTGCAGTGTTCACAACGATTCTGTTGGCAGACAGGCTCTCGAAAAGTTGACGGAGATGTTGCAAGTGCTCCTCGTGGGATGAGCTAGCCACCAGCTGGTCGTCAACGTAGGCGAACACAAACGGCAGACGACGACGTTTGTGCCGCATCGCGGAGGCCGAGTGGCATTCTCAAGAACTCAAAAGGGCCAAATAGGGTGGAAATAGCCGTCTTTGGAACATCTGTGCAGCAACATAAATCTGGTGAAAGGCTTTGACTAAGTCGATTTTGGAAAACACTGTTGTGCCATGTAGAGCTGTATGAAATTTTGAATGTGAGGCAGGCGATACCGGTTGGGAATAGTTTTTGCGTTCAGAGAACGGTAGTCTCCGCAGGGTCTCCAGTAACCTGACTTTTTGGGGATGAGGTGGAGAGGAGACGCCCAGCTGCTCGATGATAGTCGTATTATTACAAGTTCCAACATGTGTTCAAACTCAGCCCTGGCTACTTTCAGCTTATCTGGAGCAAGTCACCGTGGGTGAGCAAAAACAGGTGAACCAGTGGTGATGACATGGTGGCGGACATTATGTTGCGCAGGATTTGTCCAGTCAGGCGGTTGCGTGATGTTTGGGAATTTTCAAAGAACTCCTGCGAAATGGTCATCGGCCACTGTTGTAGTTGGGGCGATTATGCTCGAGTCCTGGGGAACAACACCATCCATGGACAGAAAGGCGTGTAGTAGTGTCAAGCAGACGTTGCCGTTTCACGTCGACCAGCAGTCCATGATGCTTAAAGAAGTCGGCATCAATGAGGGCAAGGGCGTAAGTCAGCGACGAGAAAAACCCAACGAAACACGTGGCGCAAACCTAGGTTCAGAGTGAAGATCTTGCTACCGTTGACATCTTGTAGCTAGAAGATCGGGGGTATTCTTCGGTCAGATGTTTGAGCCGGAATAATGCTGAGCTCTGCACAGGGTCCACCAGATACTGCTTACCTGTGTTTTTGTCCATGATGTGAAACCGCCGACTTTTGGGCTGGCCTTGACCAGTAATCACCCTCAATGGTTGGCCTGCCTGTTTTCCTGCCACGAGCAAGGTTGGTGGCAGTGACGCGCAGTCCTGTCCAAAATGGCGATGGTAATAGCCATATTCCCTAGTGGTGTGGGGGACCGAGAGCGTTCTGCGCGTCCATAACGTGGAGAGCTTCGGCTGCGGTTTCGGTGACGTGTAGTGGTGTAATGACGCTCCGCGACACAAAACAGTTGTTCTAGGCGATCGCAAAGCACGTCGATGGGAGAAGTAGGGTCAGATGGTGTTTGTGGAGCGGCACTCACGTTGTGGAATGACAGCGTGGCTACCTCCAAGACTTTGTCCGCCAGGCTGGCCAACTGTTGAGGGCCAACGTGGACGCAGTGGCTAGCACCGTTCGCGCATTGCCTTGAAGGTGCTGCAAAAACAGTTCTCACAACAAGTTCTCGTCAGTAGTGGTCGTGTTGCCGGTCATGAGTTGACACACATGACGAAGGAGCTGGCTGGGCTTGCAGTCGTCTAATTCCTCCGCGGAGAGCAACTACTGCTGTATGCGGGAACGCTGTGATGCCGTCGTTCGCTCCAGCAGAGCAGCCTTGAGAGTGCTGTATAGTGCGGTGGAGGGGGGTCCGGAAAGCAGGTCAGATACTTCTTCGGCAGCTGCTGGTCACAGCGCCGAAACGACGAGATGGTGCTTGCGTTGTTCCGTGCACACGCCAAAAAGCACGAATTGTAACTTTAATGAACCAGATCGAAGGGTTGCGGTCCAAGTAAGCTGGTAGTCCGAAGGAGACCACAGAGACGCCATGATCGGTCGTGCAAGTAGCTTCCGTGTTTAGGTGCGTCTCGTTGCTGTGCATGACTCTACAATACATCGGCAGTGGCGCGAAGGACTACGGGTCACCTTTTTGTAGAGCCCGGTTGTACGAGACGGAACAGTCTTTTCAGTAACAACGTCTACTTTATTCTGTCTTTCCAATGGAGGCAGAATCGTTGTAGGCTCGTGTGCTCAGATTTGGGTGCACGTTAAAGAACCCCAGGTGGCCAAAATTTTCGGAGCCCTCCACTATGGCGTTTCTCATAATCATATGGTGGTTTTGGGACGTCAAACCCCACATATCAATCAATCAATACTTTATTCTGTCGACTAGAGTCAAAATTAGAGCGGGTACACGCAGTGCACCGGAAGTGGCAAGAGTGAAAGAGACGAGGGACGAATGGAGAGGAGAGCAGCTCGTTGCTTGGAATGCTGCGCCGCAGGGTTTTTATGACCGCGGGGGTGCGTGGTGGCGGCCGCGTCGCTACAGCCCTGTCAGCTCCTCGTAACGGCCTTCGTTGCGAAGATCGCTCATGCACTCTGTGACTCACCCTTTCCACCGCACGCACCGCGTCATGTATTCGTGGTCTGCTAGCCGCTTTTTTGTCGGTTGAGCTGCATACTGAATTTCAAGGTCCATCTGGTATAAATATGTATGTGAATGCTAAAACGAGTGTAAAACAAATTACATTTGAACTGTTTATTCATTACAACTTCGAAGAAGAAAATAACCTGAAATGCAGGATGCATCAGCTTATCAGGAAAAAAAACATTACACCATGTCTTGCTAAAGACAACCATGTGTAGATGCGAAGCAACGGGCACTAACACTTAAACTGGCGGCGGCGCTAACACTGTCGCTCACCGTAGCGTTGCAGAGGAGAGAAAACGGAGGAGGCGCAAAGCACGTATTGATAGACCATTGTTTCCTACTGGAACATGCCAATCGCTGCTAATAGGTACTGAGAGACAGAAGACTGCAATTGGATACAGAGACCAGAAGCTCACCTTTAGTTAACCCGCACGCCCCGAATTTTTATTGTTCAACAACGCACAGGAGAAATCTTTCACGGCGCTACCTTGGTGGTCAAGATCCAGTGCCTATGTATAGCGGGGGCCAGCAAATGGTTAGGCAGTGTGTTTTAGGAGCGAAGCTCCAAAGGATGTTAGTCTGCTCTTTGTAGTAGTAGTGATATTTCTGGTAGTACTATATAGTCACCTCCAGTTTATGAATTGATGAAACGGTGATGTGTGTATATGTTCCTCGGAAAGAGTATCACTAGATGGCATTAGTAGCTTTCGTATAGTTGGCAGGCAGACGGACGGACGCTTCGACCCACTCATCTTCATTCACTTCGTGGATATGCTGCTATTTTTAAAATCGAGAAACTTGCTAGCAAACGCCGCCGGCGTCAGCGTTGCGAGGCGAGAGATGGCGGAGCGTATAAGTAAGGGTGTATACGTGCGCCCGCTTTATATTCACACTTGAAGGAGAGGAGACGAGAAGAGAGGAGAGTAGCGCATATACCGCGACAGCAGAAGCGAGAACGCGCGAGAAACGCGAGCGGGTGGTAGGACAGAAGTGGAGAGAGCAACGACATCTGTTAGAGAGAGGGAAGGAAGAAAGTCGCGCATGCGTAGCGTGAGTGCGGATGCCGACGTCAACGCCGTGGGACATGGACCCTAGCAATTGATGTACCACATCTAAAATGCGGTTAGAAGACAACGAACGTATATTGCCCCGCCGCGGTGGTCTAGTGGCTAAGGTACTCGGCTGCTGACCCGCAGGTCGCGGGATTGAGTCCCGGTTGCGGCGACTGCATTCTCGATGAAGGTGAAAATGCTGAGGCCCGTGTGCTCAGGTTTGTGGGCACGTTAAGCCCCGCCGCGGTGGTCTAGTGGCTAAGGAACTCGGCTGCTGACCCGCAGGCTGCGGGTTCGAATCCCGGCTGTGGCGGCTGCATTTCCTATGGAGGCAGACATGTTGTAGGCCCGTGTGCTCAGATATGGGTGCACGTTAAAGAACCCCAGGTGGTCAAAATTTCCGGAGCCCTCCACTACGGCGTCTCTCATAATCATATGGCGGTTTTCGGACGTTAAACCGCACAAAGAAATCAATGTGGGCACGTTAAAGAACGCCAGGTGGTCGAAATGTCCGGAGCCCTCCACTGCGGCGTCTCTCATAATCATATGATGGTTTTGCGACGTTAAACCCCGCATATCAATCAATCAATCAACAAACGTATCCGTGACATTGTGCCGTGAATTAGAGAGCGAACCGCAGCGCACATGCTGATCTTTTACAGTGTTTCCAACGATGGCTGTTACACGGCGCTGATAGTGCCGTCTGCCACGCACTCGAGTGTTCACCCCAACCTTGCTCACCGCTGTAGTACATGCGCCTGTGTTACGTGAGCTTGTGCTTACCTTGCTCACGGCTTCGTCGATTTCTTCGACCAGTTTGTCCTGATAATCGGGAGAGAGTGCTAAGTTGTATGCCGTGAATGTCAGCGCTATGGCTACACCGTCACTACCGGCGATGAAAAACACCATGATCTCGGCCGCCACGTCCTTCATTTCAGCTTCTGCAAGACGGGAGAACAATTGCTATACCAGTGTAACCCGGACAATTTTCATTGTAATCAAGGCTGATGCAGATTAGGCTCAGGGGCCACTGGATTTTCACATGGAACCACGGCTAGGCCCGATAAGAATCGACACGATTGCAAACTGCGCGTGATGACTTCTCTGGGAGAAGGGATTTATTTGACGTGTAAACCCTGTTCCGTCCAGATTATTTTATGCATCCTGGCAGTAGGGAACAGTAAGGATTGCGATCGAGAAATCTTTTCCGGTATGGGCCCAGATTGCAATCAAAAGTACTTGTGCAATTGTTATTACATAAGCTTTTGGTGTTCGGTAGACGTCGCAGAAGACTCGAGGAACTGTTTCCCTACAGTCTAGCTGTGTGAAGTCTTTCGACAATATCAATTTATACCAATGCTCAAACCAGCAATCCTGAAATGTACTATCAGTGTCAAATCAAATTCGAAGAGTGGCAAGCCTTTCCGATAGTGTAGTGTGTGCCGGCCAGCTATCAACATTAACAGGTGCGCGCATCCTGTTCAGCAGCTTTGCGCATATCCGCGTGCCTGTTCGTTGTGATGAGTGGACGGTGTGCACTTTACTATCACGAAGACTTGCATGCGCATGATTCACATGCGCATGCAAGCCGACACTGTCCACTGCCAGATGCTGAGAGTTGAGAGCGTGTTTGTTGCCTTCTTGTTAGGGACCGCCATCTTCAATTTGTTCAGGTCCTCGCTGGCGCTCCCGGGTAGGTGAAACTGTACGAGAAGCACTTCGGCCTTTTGCTCGTGCCCGCTTCCTGTCAGGATGAACGTCACTTAGCGAAATATTGAGGTGCTCTTTGGTGGCGTAGGTTTTCTTCACGTATGCTGTGAAGTTGTTCAGCTGCGCTGCAAGTCCGTTCAATTTAGCGTCAAACGTGGTAATCTTGTTGTTTATGCTTACGGCGAAACTCGCTATTGCTGTCCGTACAATATTATTTATGATAGTGCTGATGCTTCTCTTTGAAATTGCTTGTAAGGTCGGGAATCGGGCGTCGACACCACATTCCACATTTGCTGAGAAAAGGAAGGCACCCGGTTCTACATCATGCTTTTGGATGATGGCGCATTTCTGGTGAAGCTTGTCTATCAGGTCCTTTTGCTCCTCACAATTTTTAAGAAGCTGGTTCCGGTATCCAAGCGCTCCTCTTTGTGCTCTCTGATTGTTTTGGTAAAACCTTCAGGTTTTTCTGGTGCCTCGGCTCCGCGTCTTGTGGCCACGGACGCGGGGCCTTCCGAAGGACCGCTTGGCCAGCAGTCATCTCGGCCGACCACCGCGAGGAAGACAGGGACTTCACTCGGTGACAGTGAGGACACAGAGCTGTACTTAGCCGCCTTGGAAGATTACTCATCCGACGATGATTTCATTCCCGTCCGGAGTGAGAGAGCGAAGAAAAATATCGTCAACGCAGCCTCGCACACTTCTGCGAGTACAGCGACTATGAAGTCAAGGCATGAACGCTGGCCACACGTCATTATCTTCGTGCCAGAAGAGTCCCCAACCTGCCACTTTTCAACAGGCAAGCACTCTCCGCTTTTTTGGAACGTGTGGTACCTAATGAAATCAAGGACATCAGAGTAAATACGCGAAAAAATATACTCGCCATAGACGTATTCCACGGGAATGCGCTTGGACCACTCAAACAAGTGACTGAGCTAGGCAGCACCAAGTGCGCCCCTTTGTACCGATTGACAACGCATCCATAGCCGGTGTGATATACGGCGTAGACATTGCGATTCCCGACGCTGACTTGCCTACTCTCATTAAACCGGCAAATGAGGGTACTGAAATCACTCAGATATACCGCCTTGGGAAGTCACGCTGTGTGAAACTGGTCTTCAAAGGCGATTGCACACCATCCCATGTCAAAGTCGGACATTTTCGACATCCTGTTTGGCCTTTTGTGCAAAAGCCACTTCGATGCCCCCAGTGCTTCAAATTAGGTCACTTCAAGGCCGTGTGCCCGTACTCACTACGGTGCCCCCGGTGCGCAGAAACCTATTTGGAAGATGCGTGTCAATCCACATTTCTTAAATGCGGTAACTGTAATGGCTCACACATTGGTTCATCTAAAGACTGCCCTCGAACTCAAAAGGAGCGCGTGGTGCTTAAGCAAATGGTCAGAGGCAATTCAACCCACATAGATGCTGCCGAAACAGTCCGGCGTTGGCAGCAGCGTCGGTAACATAGTTCGACCTCAAAGACTTCACAAGCTCGAAACGACAGCGCCACCTCTACTGGTGCACCGTTACGTCAAGCCACAACAGGACCGACAAATTCAAAGAAGACTACGGGGAGAATTATTACTACAGAGGAATGGCCTATTCTTCCAAATCATCCACTGACCACAGAACGTCAGAAGACCACGCCCACTCAGGTGTCTTTTCCAATCACTGACGAAACACTTAAGAAAGATGGTAAAGTCATAAACATGCTTCGTTCTCTCATGAATGTCATCCGAGAGATCTTGTTGGACGTGGGCATAACGTCTGCCTGCAGTACTTGAATTGCTCGAGTAGAAATATGGCTAACGATCGCCATCATTTCTGAAAAGTCAAGGAAGCATTCATCACTGAGTGGAACGCCAGTGGACTAAAACCGCGTATTTTCGGACTTTCGTCAGTTAGTGCGCGTGAAAGTGTTCGAAGTCATCAGTATTTGTAAGCCCAACGCATCTGCCTGCTCTCCTCTCTCTCCCTTTTTCCATCTTTCAAACTCCCGAATCTCTATCCCCAGTGTAGGTTAGCATACCAGTCGTTCCAGACTGGTTAGCAATCTGGATTTCCTTTCTCTCTCCCTTTTTCCATCTTTCAAATTCTCAAATTCATATACCCAGTGTAGGGCAGCCTACCAGTCGTTCCAGACTGGTTAGCAATCTGCCTTTCCTTTCCCTCTTGTTCTCTTCTTCTTAAGAAGCTTGATCATACTGTCTTGATGTTTCTGGTGGCTACTGAATCAGCTTGTCAATAGTGGCTTGTTAACTCTTGCAGTTGACTGGCTTGATCCTGTAATGCACTTCTTTGATTGTGCACCCTATCTTGGAGCGATCGTAAGGCTTCGTTGTCAAGTGACGAAGACGCGCACTTGCTTGTTGCTCCGGAGCTACTCGAAACCACTCTCTGGGGTAGCATAGCTCACTCTTTTGGGCGAGTGTGAGCGTGAGCGTGATCGGAATGGGGATCGTGAGCTTCGTCGGAGTATGGGCCATGATCAGCTTTGTGCAGGAGTGACGCTAGTGCCTGCTGCTCAAATTGGTCATTTGGCTTCCTAGGTCCGGGAAGTCTTCGTTCCCTAGACTATTGCGGCAGTCTCGTGCTTTTATCCAGTCCATTTGTTGCTGTCGGATGCGGAATGGTGGCAGATTGGGTTTAAGCCTTTTCATGCGATGTTTGCTTGCAGTTTCATGCCCCTCTCCACATATCTTCCAGACGGGTCCGCACGCATGGTCTGATGATTGGTTGGCCTTGCCACATTTAGAGCAGAAATCTTGAAGTGGTCGGGGGCAGACATCCTGACGGTGTCCCGTGTTGCCGCAGGTTTTGCAATATTGCACCGATTTTCGATACGGCCTGCATCGAAAGTTGAGACTGTAGAAACAGACGTAATAAGGAACATGCGGCCCTTGGAAAAAGATCACTGCAGCTGATGATTGCCCAAGCATACGGGCGTGGAGAATGGTGTACTTCACTGGTGCACGAAGGCCGGCCTTGAGTTTGGTTTCTGTCGTGCCGGGCAGAAGTCCGCTTATGACGCCGCGACAGACGTCGCCCGGCGTTCTCGTGTTTCCGTTTATGTTGAAGAAAGTGCCGCCAAGTTGGATGCTGGTGACGCCTTCAGGTTTTTTCGCGTCTTCCCATTCCGCCGTGCTTGCTATAATCAGGTTTTCTTGGCGTTGCACTTGCACGCACACTTTCTCGCCAAAATATTGCTGTGACAGACCGCTGGCTCTTCCGATGGCTTGCATGATGGTGATATTGTTCCACTTTGCTAGCTCGAGGCCTGCTTGCAGGCGGTACATGACCTTGTAGTCGTCGAACAGTAGGGGTGGCATCATAGGCTTGCGACGGTGCGATTGGTGTTGCTGCGTTGTCGTTTCTTCCTTGCGAAGTTTCTCTTCTGGCGTCATGTTTTCCCCCACGTTCTTCTTGTCGTTTATTGCTGTCGTGATCCAAATGCTTTGACGTTCAATTGTTCTGCCACTGCTCTCGTCATACCACCAGGAAATCTCTGCGTTCCGCATTTCAGTCGCGTTCAAATGCATGGCGTTCGTATCATCGTCCAGCTGATCACTGTGCGTTTCGGTTGTTTTTTCTTCTTCTTGGCTCGTCTTGCAAACTGGACGCCGCGTGAGCTGGCGCCGGTGCAATGCTCCCAGAAGCGCTCGAGCGTCGCCAGCACGCGCCGCGCGCTAACGGCACGTCTCTCGATGGACTTGCGTTCTGTGTTAGGCTTAGCCGGGCGGGTGTGTGGCCTCGCAAAAATAACGAAATCAGGGACTCCCTTGGTGGTGGCTAGGGTCCGCCAATCGCTGACATCTTGCTTGTTACGCGGATGCCCAAAATGAGGGTGGTTGTGAGCCATGATGATAGTTGGAATGCCACGAAAGCAGGAGCCAATGTGAGGCCAGTCAGCACTTCACAGCCCTCTAGCGGCGATCTCCAGCCGAATAAGTAGTTGCATCTGAACATTGAGTGGGCTCCCTTCGTCCACTTCACGGCACCGTGACATCTGAAGGGCGTGTTGCGTCTTTAATGTTCCGCACGCCCACACCAAGCCTCGAACCCAGCCCCAGTGTTAAAGAAGACACCAAAGCTAACCCCGAACAGCTAACAAGCCGCAGGCCGAGGGGACTGCAACCAAAGTACGGGCCCCTTCCTGAAACAACCAGATGGCTCAGATCCCGACATCGAGAGCTGCAACGATGCTTATCCGCCAGGGCGACGCTAAACAGTAACTTTAAAGCCGCATTATCACACTGTCTCGTGCCACCGGCTTCAGCCAATCTGCTTCATACTGCCATGATGGAAAGATAAAACCGAACGTTTTTCAGTCTTTCCGTCGGTGGCAGTTTACAACGCTTAATTAGGGTATTTAGCGGCGTTTCTTCGTAGCGGCGACTTCGCTTTTGTTATCGCCATCGTTCAAACGAGTGATCCAACAAGCACTTTGTGGTGTTTCAGTGGCGCATCCAAATTGCGGAGAGAAGCTCATAGTTCTTTCTGGTGGTTAAATGCGAAAAGCATTCGCAGTATTAAACTCAATTGCTCTTTCAACTTGCTAGGTGCATCTAATTCCACAGAAAACTCTGCAAAGAAAGCAGACTTTGCACTGCTCAATTCCTTCCTTCTCGCTCCGACAGGTGTCACCACCCAAACGAAATGTTCACCCACTGACTTACCTGTTAACTTTCGGCCACTTGATCTTTTCATTTCCATCATGGTGTCTAAACACAGTTGAAGAACATCGTTGTGTCGCTGCAACAAATTTCAGGCGTGAGCTCGTCGGTACACAAAAGCTCCAGAAAGAACGTCGCAATGTCACTTCGTCTAGTGTTTAAATCTTGATTGACACTTAGCAGAACCTTAATTGAGACTTGGCAGAAACCTTGGCAGAACGTCCTAAGGCCGTAGCACGTATCTTACAAAGTTCGGGTACTGGGCTCCACTACTCACAACCAAAAGGTATTCACAGTGTTTTAGAATATGTAAAGTAAGTAACAATTGTTTTCATGCATCCAGTAATCCCTGTGCTGGCCTAGTTTATTAAAAATTATTTTCTCTCAAGTTCTTTCTACGGAATGCGTGTGGTCTTTACGCGCCATTTTGGCTCTAGTTTTCCTCCTCGCCCCCCCCCCTTTTTTTTTAAATGAGGTACCGTATATGTGCGACGTTTAGTTTGGTGAAACTTTCAAGTAACTACAATCTGAGCATAAGTTTAGAAATTACCAAGCAGCAAGTAATACACAATATTCAATCGTGGCAATCGCAGTAGCGAAAACTGCTCGTTCACCCCAACTTTCATCTCTTGATGAAGTGAAGTCACGATGTTTCCAAATAGTAACCACACCATTAACAATGTTATCATTTGAATTTTTATAATTGTGTTTTTTGATATAAGGTTGAGTGTGTCTAAAAAAAGGAAAGCTCTATTAAGAACGCGAACGAGTTTTTTCACTTCTAGTACCTTGATATCCAGTAGTTCTACAATGTTTACTTTTATTTGTTTTTTGTACTGCTAGTGTATTTGAAAATGTATCAGGGCTTTAATTACTTTTGATACGTATTTATTGAGATAAGTATGTCACTGAAGCGACAGTGTTAATCTATAATGCTTAGATTTATAACAATAACGGCACTTCTGCTTCTTACATGTATATAGAAAACTAATCTAATAGAATAAATTTATAACTAGCCACACAGGCTACAGGTGCAGACATTGTTGTAGCCGTTTTTAACAGCGATATTGTGTAAGCTATTGGTAACTTGTGCTCAATTGTGAGAATTTTCACAGGTAGGTGTGGGGCTCAGTAAATGGGCAAGTCCTAATACCGACTACAGCAGATGCGAGGTTTAAACGAGAACTACGCTCGGTGAAGTGCAGCTCATGAGACACCTGAAAGAAAAAGAGCTAGAAAGAATAAGATAGAGAACGAGCTGGATAAGGTAGGCAGGTAAAAAAATTGAAAATGAAAGAAGGCAATAGAAAGAACGAGGAGGAGAAAAACGATGAAAGGAAGGAATAAAGACAGAGAAATAAATAGGAAAATAATGAGAAACAAAATAGCATAAAAATGCAAAAAGAAAAACAAAGAGAGAACGAGAAAAGGAGACATAAAGACAGCAATAGAAAGAAATAAACGAAAAAAGATAATGGAAACAGAAAGAGAACAAATAAAGAAACAAAAAAAAAACAGGGAAGGCCACCCAGGTTGGCACTTACTCCAGGCTTGGCACCACTATTATGAAGCTGCCATCATTTTTTTGTATTCATTTATTCAGTAAACATTGATTATTTGGTTCGTTAATTGATGATCTGACTGAAAGTATTCTAAAAAGCTACAAAGCCTTACCACTGTCTCGGCTTATCGGCTAAGGTTGTTGATTACCTCATTCGAAGCCAGTCTTTTCTCAACCATGACTTTTGCAAAATTGAGTACTTGCTGAGAAGCGCAAGTGCTAGGGAACTCTATCGGCAGCATTTTGAAAACCCTTGACATGGCAACTGAAATTGAGAAAAAATAGTAATAGTATTCATAGCTGTTTCATATTAAATTGACGTGAAAATTTAATTACATAAGAAACTCGAACGGAAACACACTGAGATGGTATTTCGGGCTAATTTGTGTTGCATTATCTCGTGTCTCACTGTTCGGTCGTCGAACACAAAGTGTACTCCCAAGTTATGAGGAAACTTGAAAGTAGTGCTCAATTAGAGACAACTTATATCTATACAATGGCCTGCGAACGTCATTTCAGTTTTTAAAGAGCCGGAACAAGCACTCCTCCCGGTAACTATTGTTCCATCTCGCTAACATGCATCTCTCGCAAACTGTTTCAACGCATCATCGCCTCCCGTATCTGCAGTCGTTTGGGTCAAATAACTTTTTCTTTGTAAATAAACATGATTTTCGGAAAACATTATCGTGTGATACTCAACTATTAGAAATTACGTCAGATTTACATTATGACATAAATAATTATTAATCATTGATTGCATCTTTCTCGAGTTCGCGAACGCTTTCGACAGAGTTGCTCACTGTCACCTAAAAGCTAAAACCTCGGCACTTACACTTGACTCATGAACATTATGTTGCTCCGGAATGTTTCGTATTCAGTCGACAGCAGCTCACATCTGTCAACTACTCCAGCTCATCTGCTTGAATTGTCTTAACAGATGTGCCCCAGGTTATTGGATTAGGCCCTCTTCTTTTTCTGATTTATGATAAATATTTGTCTTGTACCTTTTCTTCTTCGATTCGCCTTTTCACGGATGACTGCGTACTGTATAGAACTATTAACTCTGAAGACGACCATGTAAGTTTTCAACAAGACCTCGACCTAATTATTCCGTGCTGTGACAGCTGGCAAGTGATACTTAACACATCTAAGTGTTTCGTACTTTTTTCCCTCGTAAGAGATCTGTTTTCCCTTACCTTACTATGTGTGTTTATTAATAGTAGTTTATGATTACTTTGGACATAATCAGTGGCATAGAAAACGTAGAACTCTGAACAAGCATCATGTTCTTAAGTCTTCATCACCCTGAAAGTTTGTGCAATCTCACCAAATGAGCAAAAAAAACGTGCATCACAAAGAGTGATGTTCTGCAACATCGACAATAGGAATTATGGCTCACACAGCATGAGGACCTTCCATCCTCCAATCGCGCTAAAGAATCCGTTGCAGCAGGTCACTAGCGGATGATCAGTTGATTGGCGAGTGCAAAGGTCAAGACCAAACAGGAAGGCGGCCATGCCATCCATTGAGCACTTCTCAAAGAGCCTGAAAAGTCAAAGAACTCAATTGAAGAGCACATATGTGTGGAGAGGAAAGTGAAGAAAAGGCAGTTCAAGAGGAAGAGAAAAACAACAGTGAGAGGATTTTATTCAATATGCAAAGCAGATTGAATTTTTCCACAATCTGGGAGCTGTAGAGACCAATGTACTTGGAAATATTTCCAATCCCCAACAATTTAGCATCATTAGTACACTCGCTGAGCGGTTGTTGAATAAAAGCTACAGTCTTCAGCTCTTCTTTGTACTTTGACCATAGTGCTCGGGGAATGAAATGTTCGAAAAACTGCAGCAGTGAACGCTTTGCCTTCTGAGCTTCTGAGACACCTGACCATGTACCAATAAGTTTTCTGAATCCAGGTTATCGTTAAAGATAGCATGGGTGGATGTAGAAAGGGGACAGATCTAAAGTAAATGTTATATAAATATATGCGGGCATCAGATACATTGTGAGCCTATACAAAGCCGGCTTTTTTGTTTTCCCAATTATCCGAATCGATAGGATAGATAAAGTTTATACGTATCTGCTAAATAGTAATACGGCCTCGGAAAGCGGACGGAAGCGTATCTTTTTTTCACTGACACAGACACGGAAATGAAGAACGTGCGGAAGAAGCTTGTTCATGGTGTCTATACCATATATTTATGTGTCACCGTTTTGATAACAAACGTCAGCCGGCAAAAACACAAACACACCCACAGAGATACACTAAAAAACGTTGGGGTCAATGATATTCTCCACTATGCACACCCTAGTGATTCATCCCTAGAAGTGCAATTCATGACGTAGCTGAACGCTGTTGTTATGCTATTCACGGCGTAATTTTTGGCAGCGGGGCCTCATCAAGCGTGAGACCCACGGGACGGCTTCATGCTCTCCCAAAGTAGAGTACCTATAGTACTCTAACTCGTTACCTACTTTTTCTAAACACAGAAGTACAATTACCTAGGGCCCATTTCTGTGTGATGTGGACTCTCAGTGTTGAACAAACGTGAACTCATTGTGTAAGTGTTGTGCTATGTACATATGTATAGCCTTGTGTTTGCTACAAAATGTGCGATGTTGACTTCTGTGCAAGAGAAGACGAGTAGCCGGCGCCACGCATTGGCACCAGCCTCTCCTTACATACATTTAATAAAAAAAAAAGCTCTCTCAGAATCAGACTCACTGAACTTTTCCTCGGCAAAACTCCCTCAGACTCACACTCACTAAACTTTTTTTCATTCGAACTTAATCAGACTCAAACGTACCAATATATTGCTCTAGCCTTCAGATTCAGACTGACAGCTTCACCTGAGTCTAAGTGAGCCTGAGTGAGTCAACTCATGAGACCACTGGTGTAATAACTTTTCCAATCATCCTGTAAATATTCTTTAGTCACAATATCTCACGTAATTGGTGTGCAATGATACGCCTTTTGGTGTTGTCGTTTCTAATACATATTATGAAAACAGGCAGTTTAATAGGGACATTTCTATAAAATACGTGACTCGCACAAGATCTTTTCATCAAGAAAGTCTCGTGAGAGCGTTTGTGGGGGGAAGTTTTGTCAACCTCCTTCCCTAACTCATGCCTCCGATCAATAAACTCTTAGGTGGCGCATGAGCACTTTTGCGTTGAAATAGTGTGAATACGATTTAGCGTAAACGTAAACCGATGTAGGCATGTTAGTAAGGTTGACAGGAAACTGACACTTGACGTCATAACTAGCCCAGGAGTTTGTAGAAACTCTGAAAGCTGGGCCAGTTGGTGACAGTACTTGAATATATTTTAACACGGAGTACGACTACGCGGACACAGGATAAGAAGGGACAAGCGCTGCAGTTTGTTCATTCATCTCTTGTGTCCGCGTATTCGTGTGCTGGGTTAAAATATGTTCATGCCAGGAGCTTGTGCTGTAGGACAGCATGGCTACAACTATACTGACAATATTTTCTGAAAGTGGTCGAAGACTTTTATATTACCTACTGCGCAAGCTTATCATGCTGTTATTAAAACTTCATATAGCACCATATTGAATACGTTATCTAGATGCTCACGAAGAAACATAAAAAAAAATTATTGTGACACTTTTGTTGTTTTGACTTCATGAAGTGCTTAGATATCAGAGAGGTCTTATGGAGTATGAAAGGTGGAAATGTTTAAGCAAAAGAAGATTATTTTTATTATCCTGAGAGGTGGTCTATCGGGAATGTTTATTAGCCCATTTCATTTGGTTTCATTTCTACAGGTTGCGTCGCACTCTTACTTCCGTATTGTTTCTAGCGTACATACGTGATGCTTGTACGTTCTGCATCAAAACTGAGCAATACCTTCAGTTCAGAAATATTTTTTTGCCATGTGACACATTTGTAATACTTTGCAGTGTTCTGCAATGTTGCTTCCAGTAATTTTTTAGAAACATGGAAATTAAGCAGTTTCTCAAAAGCCCACGTTGGAATGCATCATTAGCTAATGATGTGGTTGACGCAGGTCTTGCACTGCCTTCAGAAAGTAAACATGGCTATGCTACATGTATATTTTTGTCGATTATTTCAAACGGCAAAATAACTGACGTTTTGCAGCGAGACATATCTCAAGTGCCAAGTTACTACATCAAAAGCTATGAAAAACTTGATCAAAAATAGATACGCCGCTAGAATTGATGTGACGTAACAGCCAGCAACATTGCAGCGAATTTTCTTCCCGAGATTTAGCGGCAGTATTGCTATAAATTAGCGGGAACATTCGTGTTTTTATCTTTCATAATAAAACATCAGTCGCTCTTTTTCATTTTTTCGTAGGTGATGCATTCGGTATTGCATTGATAATCACAGCCTAAATGCGCTATAATTTTTGCCATGAATTACGAAATTTCTGTTTTTTTTTCTGTGTCCAGTACTAACACCACTATGACAGTGGTTGAATACAGCCTTCAAGAGAAGCTTACCTTTGAACTTCCACGACGTTTCTTTGTTTAGCTTCTTCCACAAACTGAAGCCGCAACCGCTCTGCGAATTCAACGAACCGCGGAAATACCTGTGGCAAAAAACGAAAAGAAACATAAATCAATCTTTTTTACCTTATTACCCCTTGCAGACAAGCAAGCGACCGCCATCGTTTGAAGTTATAGCCTCATGCACTTCATCGACAAAATGGTTTTCAGGATAAGGGGCTACAGCAAAAACATAAACCCCGTGGTTTTTTTTTCATAGGCTTAACTAGAGCTTATGGATTCATGCAAATCAGGTAAATTGCAAGAATTCTTATAAATGAAGGGACACCTTTATTAGGACCATCTAACCAAGATTAGGCACTCCAAACCCCGCGCCTCATTCGGTACACACGCGTCTGTTTATAGGAAGTTAAATATTACTCACAATCAAGCTTCAGTCTTGTTCCCATTGTGTATTCGCTGCTGCTCGACCCGTGTTCGGTGTTCTGAAGAAGTTTGCACCTCACTAATTTAATTGTTTCTTGACGGTACGTTATTTAGTCATTCACTCGGTGTCTACGTTCAGCTTGTTAGCGGCTTTGAAGAACCTCGTCGCAGAAGATGGCTATGGTAAGTAAATTAAAAACAGCTTTTAGATAAGCGTCGCGATAATAAACAGCGGCAATATTTCTGCCGTTCATCAAATCATTTTAAATAAATTTTCTTTAAACCATCGTGGGCTCCTTTATCAAATATAAAGAAAAGAATGGGGTCTTTTTTAATTGTCTCCCTCGTGGTAAGCGGCGCCCTATGCGGGTAATATATATATATATATATATATATATATATATATATATATTTGTGTTGAGCGGCATGACGCCCTAGTCACTCTGCCTCCATGAACAAATGTAAAATGGCTGTGCTGTCTGCTGTGCAAAGCACATTCCCGTTCCCTCCTTCTAACCTGAGTCATCTATCCAACGTCAATGCAGAGTAATGCTCTACGTTTCTGCATATTTAGAGCTGTTTCGTATAAATGGTGTGATCCGGAATGATTGTACGAATAAATTTCTTTACAATCTTTCAAAACTGCAACATATAAAGCGATGACCACAACACCTGCTTGAATGAATCACATGCTCCCCGCTCAAATTTCTGAACTGTGTAATTAACGACATTGACTCAGAGGAACGCAGTGTGGTTTACACGAAGACAGAATATTCAGGTAAACACTGACGAGGGCCGCCTGTGTCTGTCTGTGTCTCCTGTTTTTGCCTAATCACTTTGCATTCGTATGACTATGTAGCACAAGCTTGCCCAACTCAAACTACTATTGGAACAATATTCAGCATTTGGAGGGTGTACTCTATTTCAGTGTTTGATTTCGGCTGTCGAACTGGTCCGACCCAAAAAGGTATATTTTTAATACTAGCTTGGGAATAATGTTCGACGTTTTCGTGTACAAGAATACGTGATTTCATAGTTGTGAACAGCGTTTCTTGCCTTCCGCAGCAACCCTGCACACTCGATTTTCCGCTGTGCAAGGAATTGGATCCACGATTCAATACATCAAGATGTTCAACTGATCCCTTATAATCATTTGGATTCGCATTAGTGGTCATATAAGTAGTAATATACGACTCATATATGGTCATATATGACTCATTTATGGCCATATAGGTACACATATATGTCACTCTGCAATATAAAACAGCGATGCGAAACAGTAAAGTACCACTGCAGTATTGAGCTGCTCCGGCAAAGCTGTAAAGTACAAATGTTTCAAACGCGGTACTTTCCGTTGCACAGCTGGTGCTTTCGTAAGAGTACCCTTTTGGACAAAGTACCAACCGATTTTAGCTTGCTCGGAGTGAACGCGGGGGATAGCGCCATCCGTTCGTCCTTCCACATATTCGACGACATGTTGAGTAGCATGTTGTCCCACAAAGCATTTCCAGTCACTTCACTTTCCTAAAACAAAAGAAAGCATACCCTCCGAGTCAAGAAGTACCGAATTTCGCTATTTTTCTACAGCTAATTTTCGTCGGCAACCTCGTTTTCTGAGTACTCCTGCTACTTCTAAGTTTATACGCCAGCCACCAAGTCAGTAAATGCAATAAAACATCGGTTGGCACTAGGTGTTCCATACATTTTGAGATAGAAGCTTCAGCGAGCACCGAGACAAGCCCCAAAGAAGAGTGGAGAAAAGCACTAACGCTCGTTAGCAGCTTCCTGTTACCCATATATATGCCAGAGCCAAGTAATCGTGCGTGCACACAGATAATAGCACCACAGAGTGCATAGGTAAGAGAAGAGATGGTTTACCCAGACGCGCGCACATAAATATACTTTGATGTGTCAAGGAGGAATCATTACTCAGATTAGTAAAGAAGGGATCATTAATTCAATCATCTGCTTTTTTTCTGATGTGGTACGCTTCTAACTCAGGCCGACCACCCTTGTTCATTTTTGGTTTTGTCGAGATTTGACGTCTCGGCAAATCTTGGTTCATGCCGCCAAAACTGCATCAAGAGAATGTACATCGTAGCGACTCCGCTCCTGTAATAAAGGGACTGTCTATCTCTATGAAACACATTTTGATAGGGGCAAAAATAAGGAAATCGTTCATCGCATCGTTGGCGACGAGTTGCTTTTCTTTCGTAAAAATGAATTGTAATTTCAATTTGGCGTTTAACGTCGAGAAATAATGACCACTAGCGTCGACCAACAGCGATTTGGCTCAGTGTGGATCAACCTATTGGCAGGACAAGGTATCCTGACAGGTAGACTCAATTTGCTTGAAAGCAAACATATATGACTTGAAATTGTATTTTAAGCACTTGTGGCAGCTTTAGATTGCGCCAGAGAGTAGTCTTTGATTTTTCTCTCCCGCGTTCAATGAGGTGCCACGAGGTGCTGCTGGCGGTGCGTGTGTTCGCTTGCCTGCATGCCTGCCTGCAAACGGCAGTGAAACGCGAGCACTGCGTTCTCCGCCGCTCATAAGAGCAGCAAAAGTTGTGTCTGCCAGCTTCAGCCGACCACTGATGTATTTGTTGTATTAATAAACAAATCTTGACGGAACATACAAAAACCGTACGCGGTTTCAGTTTTCCGCTTTCACCGGCCGTACAATCGTCATCACCACCACCGACCAGTGTTGTGTGCATCCATCTCACCGATGGATGGAGAATGAATGTAGACAGAAGAATTGTGTTTTAGAAAGTCTTATTCACTATCGAGAGGAACAACTACAAGGTGGGACACTTCAAATGACATGGTTTTTATTGCGACACGATACAGAAAAACAGTGAAGGACGGTGGGCAGTCCCTTTAAGTCAATGTATGCGGCAGTCAATGTATGCGGCCAACGAAAACGTTGTATGTAGTTCGGCCTTTGTGACGCCACCCCATGGCGTACGAAGACCTGCAAAACCGCTCCAACGGAATGCTAGTGGCGCTGAAGCAAAGTGGGATTGCATACGCGCCCAGACACAGGATGAACATGCTGCTGCGCGAACGAGAAATGCTGCAGCTGAACCCACCTTCAGCCGTGTTTGCTACATTTCGAATCATTCCTAGATATCTGGGCCCGGATTCACAAAACTCACTTACGAAAACATTTTTGCGCAAGAGAAATTTTGTTGCGTAAGTCGATTCACGAAAAGAAAAAACGTCGTAAGAGGCCATAGTTGTCACATCGGCCACTGCAAATAAAGCGCGCTGTGACTGCCCGAGAACATGTCAGCGATGGTGATGCAGTTGCTATATTTGCTTACGTCACCGAAAAGTGCTCGTAAGTGGATTCACGAAGCGAAATTGTGCGTAAAAACAGCATGGCTGAGAGAAAATCCCAAGAGTGGTCCGGACCACTCTTAGGAACAATGTGGCTACTTAGAACCTGCTGCCGCAGCGGTATACTTTGGTGCCCTTTGGTGCTGGTTTTGAGTTAATTCACGCCCATTAAGGGCTGCCTGATGACTGCTGGTGCGTTTTTATTTCTTTCGGCGCTTTGAGCTTCGCGTGTTGTTTCCCTTGTACGCAGTGGATGGTGTTGACAACCACCACCGTCCAATAAGTTTGAAGTCGCAGTAATTGAAGAATTCTATTGGGCGTCAATGGCATAAAACTACGCATGTAAAGATTTGTGGTTGGATGAAAACCAATGTGATACGTGAATGGTCGGTGCATTCGAACGCGACATGACATAGGATCAACCTTATTCGTTGTGTTGTTGTGTTGCGCCCCATCTCATCCAATTAAAAGTGCGACTCGAGATCCTTGCCTCATTGGTGGAAATTACCACCAAAGAGGTTAATGGGAGCACATTCTTTGCACGCTATTGGAAATAAAAATGAGAGGAAGTTTTCAGTGAGTGGTTTCTAAAGTTTGTGCTCTAGTGCACTTTCATTGGCTCTAACTGTCCAATGGTTGCGATCTCTGAAATACAGCTGTCGATACACTTTGGGACGATCTGGAACAAAGCGTACTTTGTAAACCAAAGCGTATTAGGGGTGCGCGTGATTACGCATGGAACTACAAACAAATCATGCATCTTCACCTTCACTGTTCAGACACCGATATGAACCGTGATATTATGGCAAGCAATCGGAATGAAATGACCCTAGTAACTTTGTATGACACCGAAAATATGCAAACCCTCACGATTCTGGAGCAAACCTTGGCTGAATTCATCCCTGCGTCAATTACCAGCCATTTGACTTGGCGCACGAACATGATTCAAAGGTAGAGCGAGCCACTGACATGTATTCTGTGCGACGTAGCGACCACTTCACCTGAGAATAATAGCGTTGCGAAGGCGAATCCCCTTTCGCATGCTCTGATCGAAGCAGACGACAAACGCGAGCAGACGACAGCTTGGCTGACAGGCACAGCTTGTGATTTGTTGTGAAGCAATACCCTCTACATCAGCTCACCCCGTGAGGTTGCCAAAACACTTTTTTCATCTGGCACGCCTGTCCTGTTCGTCATATCACCCCCCTCGCACATAAGAGAAAATTTTGTCACGCCGTGAAAATAGTGCAAGTACTTTCTAAGAGCTCTCTTATCATCTTATGTGCTGCGCAGTTGTCGAAAACAACATGGCGTCGTAAACAGCATATCGGTCGGTGCGACTTTCAGCAAACGCTTCTCGCACGAGTTACTTCAGCGTTTGACCGGATGTGTTGGGATTACAGCAGCTCTTTTGGTGCGTGTAAGCAGTGCGGAAAGTAGTGGCAGTGCAATGGTGTACGGTGAAGCGCAGCGAAGCCTGTGCGTCGGTGTGGTTATCAAGCGGGGATCGGCGTCGATGTATCGATGGCAACTAGCACTCAAGAAGCCTGCAATGTGTGTTTGTGTGCCGGTAACAGTTCGTTCGCTTGACTTTCCAGTCTCTCAGTTTGGTGCTGTGCGACATTTCGGATTGACAGCGTTTTGACACGTTACTTGAGTGACCCCAAGTACATACGGAAACGTATGAACTAGGCGCTCGGTTCTTGCTTCGCCACTAGTTAGCCCGCACGCTTCTATTTACTTGAGAGCAATGTACTGTTCGGGAGTGAAACGATGTTCGTTGTGAACAGTGGTGCTGTGTTGACGTTCCAAGACTTGTGAACAAGCTGTGCTCGTGTGACCGAAAATTGAAAGACAGCGTTGATAACTGTTTTGCCCTGCGAAGTCGTGGTGGGGCAGCTTGGCGCTTTTGTTTGTTAAGTCATCACTTCTCCTTTTTGTGATAACCATAGTCCTAGCGCTGCGATGTGATCAACCAAAACTGCGAGATGCTACATTCTGTTGTGGATCGTGTTACTTTGGAAGCGCGCCTAGACTGTTCTTCGGTAACAAATTCAGAGTTCTATGTGGCATCGAGAGCCCGTGAACGTCAAGCTTCCCTTAGCCCCCCCCCCCCCCCCCCCCAAAAAAAAAGCAAAGATTTCACCGGTGCCTTGCTTTGGATGAAGTTGCAGGCCAATATCGCCTAACTACAGGTTTCCGAGTTCGTCTGGCCATTGTTTTGCACGGCACTAGAGTCTTGACAACAGCCGGTCATGGCCAGTTCTTACACTTTATCAATGGACGTGCACGCCTGGCCAGCCCTTCATTGCTGTTATCGGCAGCTTCCAGACTGCAGATGCCCTTTGCCTGTTGGCCGTACTTGGTTCCTTATGACACCGACGGCTACTAAATGCTGCCATCGGTGAGTTCACCTTGCAGAACTAAATTCCACCGGTACTATAATTCACGCAGTTCTATAACGTAAGCAAGTTTTTAAGCCCATCAGATGTAATGTTTCCCTATGGTAAGTTGAAGCATCAAAAATTTACTACTACTGTTATATACATACATATATTATGGAGCAAATACATAAAAAGTTTTTTGTGATTTGATACAAGTGAGCTCTTGTTTGATTATGAGGTTGGGCCTGTCGATTGACCACGTTTGATAGTTGGAAAGTTACTGTGAATTTATTTTTCAGGAGCCAGGTTGCACTTAAAAAATTTATGTTATTTTGGAAAATTAGTTCTATAGACGATTACCACTATGGTAGTACTATACTTCAGTAGGACATATATATTGCTATACGTAAATTTTACATGAGGCTTCATTTTATTTCAAGGTGAATATAGCAGATTTTGGTCATTTTAAGGAAGTGATAGCTTCCTCAAATAAGTATTAGAAGTGAGTGCTTCTAATGATTGTTTTTAATTAAATATCTCGTTTTTGGCTCTTCACAGATCGCAGAGATTGGTTTGTTAAGGTCCTGTGATGCATCGGTTGCACATTCTGGCACATCAATCCTCATCATTACTTGGAGCACCTGTACAAAAACAGGAAGGACACGTTCTCCCTAACTGTGCAAGCCTATGTCACTGCTGGGACTGTTATCATTCAGCGGATGTGGCGTGGAAGCATGCATGGCAGCCTCATCTGGAAGGACTGCAATCTGCTTGGGAGCTTCGAGGGCACAAAAC